GACTCATTTCGTACCAATATAACCAATGACAATACATCCAATTTTTCGAATGATCACAATAAGGAACCTGAATAGCTGGTTCTCGTATACCAGTGCTGAGATTGAAGTACTCAGAAGAATGGTGCATTTTATGAAACCACCATAACACACCAACTTCTGAAACGATGCACTTTTTTGTTAGGTGTGGCGTAATGCACACAAGAAGGCAGCGTTCAGACTTTGCCACGACGCGCTGTAAGACGGCATACCGCAAATTGACGCGCTACAATTGCAGTAGCCCTCCAATCCCATGGACGAAAACGGAGCCGCAGACACAGGTCGGTCGGCGCCGGCCGTCTGTGTTTTGAGTGAGTATGGGGAAAATGAGGATAAAACTTTGCCTGACACGCAGTCTGGTACCTATCGGCGCTAGTGTTTCGGGTGAGTAATGAAGATCTAATAGACCTAAGACCTAACTAAAAATTGCTGTCTACTCTAACCTGTACAGCATGGGCTACCATGCACTTTCCTTCCCATACGCCACACTTACCATGTATAGCTCGATGACCGATGTAAAATATGAGATCCATTGTGAAAAAGCACAGTATCCATGTTAACGCCGAATCGTTAGGCAGATCTATGATATGCACTCGATCGTACACTATCGGATAGATCGAAGCCGAAATGTCGCGACCACCAACTCTAAATTGCAACTGAAAGAGAGCAGACTTAATAAACAAGGCGTGTAGACAGGTTGGGCTTATTTCGCGTGACATTCACTTCTGACCGCGACCTTTTTCTATTCGAGGCCCGACAGCTATTGCTTTATCCAGCTCCCCAAGTTACAGCATCATGATGTACGAAATGGCGGTGCCATTTCGATCCCCCCCCCAAATCCTCATCTAATACTAGGGCCCCTTCCAATATCCCATCTACGACATTTCTAGCTTTTGCCAATTCCCTACTACATCGACAACCGGAAGTGATTTTCTCACGGCTCAGGGAAATTTCCCCTCAAAACAAATACGACCCTCCTTCCCAGCGACAAAGTTTTACCCTGATGGTATTCCCCAGTGATGCTGTATCCTAATCCAAAGGCTGCTCAGTGAGCACGCTCCCTCAGCTCCGGGATATATCCAGGATAGAAGTAGTCAGAATCATGCCTAAAAAGACCGCGAAGCTCAATTGAAAAATAGAAACACTGAAAACTAATAGAAAACGGGATTCGTGTTAGGTCGACTGTGACAAGCAGTCATTAAGCGGCTCAAAAGCATTACTGCAAAGATCAAACATCTCGTGTGGGAATGGAACTTCCCTCCGTAGGTGTAGAATGAAAAATTACTTCAAGAGGAGAAACAATATTCCAGCATTTATCGAAGTGACGTGATCGTTGAACGCGTACTTCTTCTCGTCAAGTATCAAAAACTCCAAGAACACCATCACAAACGTCCATGTCGAGGCCTGAACTGATATGACACAGAGCTCTCATTTTCAGCCGAGCACTTCAAGAGCAGCGCATTAGTGGCGGAACATTTGGGAGCGGAGGTGGGTGGGCATCGCATTTCAGTCTTCGGAAGAAGAGAAGGAAAGCTTCACATCCTTCAAGGATTACGAATAAACCATGAAGGTGACGAACACCTGAGCAATAAATCATCTAGTTCATCAACTCGTTTCCCTAAAAATTTTTACTTCTCACCTACTCTTGAAAACCGTCAGCTTTCCGAACAACGCATTAGAACCGAAGCTAGAGACGGTCTTTAGGACGCGACATCGCTGCGCGGCAACCTGCAGACACCGCGGCTTTCAGTGGAGCGCACGACTTAGACTTGTTGCTTCTGGTTGAATCAGACTGCTGTTGTTCAGTTTTCAGGCACGCTCTTCACTTCTAATACAACCTGGCCTTGAATTTCGTTTTCTTTGCATCTAGTGATTGATAACATTTGTGGTACGAAAGGCGAAGGTGGTGTAGCGACAGGCGGCGCGCTTAACACTCGCGCGCGCCGGGTGCAAATCCGGTGTCGACCACGCCGCCCAGTAACCAAACCTTCTACCCCGGCGGACGGTAAGATATGGCACCAGAAGTCGTCTGGGAAATAAAACACTGACTTGTACATCGGCTGGCCACCGCAAGTCATTGTATAGGCCACATCGCATTCAATAAGCCACTACGATTCTGAATGGAAGTAGAATGCGTGCCGCATCCCACAAAGGATTGATTAACGGCGAAGACTTTATCCTTTTATCCTTT